TATTAACAATTAAAAACATATTTTATGTCATATACAGATTCAGAGGGAAGAAATGTTTAAAAAATTAAATAAACCAAATGCCGCTCTTGTGCAACCTCCATAACAGTGCTGAACTACCAACCCATGGTCCCCATGTTTAAGTAATCAGCTTTTTGATTTTGAAGGGCTGAATATCCCATGTCTTCATGGTCTCACACTACTGCTACTGTCACTGGCAGGCACAGTGGAGCAAAAGCAGAGTCCTTGTGCCAGTTAATTTGTATTTTCTGTGTGTGGTATAGACACAGCAGTGTGTCAGTTTTCTCACTGTAATGTACACCTATAGCTGTGACTCTGCTCTATCTGATAACGTTAAATTATACTTTTCAAGGTACAAAGTCATATGAGTCTGGAGTGGGTTTTTTGTTATCCCCCCCCCATTTTATCACCTGGTATCAACAGTGTTCAGGTACATTGTGTTTCACTATTCAGCCTCTATGTGCTTGTGATGTCCTGGGTGTATTTATTAATGTAAATGTATTACTAATGTAAATACAAAAATTCAGCAGAGAATTAGGAAAACTCTTCATGAACTTTTTAAGAAGTGGCATGCTGAAATTAACTGTTGAATGTGGTAAGTGGGGAAATGAAGACGAGGGTGAAGTAACCAGAAACGGGGTCCCGTTGGAAGTCCATTTAGGATTTCTTTGATTTTTTTGATGGGTATCTTCCATGGCAAGCTTGGGGACACCTGCACTCTATGCCTGAGAGTGAAATGCAGCCGCACATGACTTTAGACCTCATATGGGTTTCTCATGTGTAGTTTCATCTATGCATAGGTACATAGGACTTGATAAAAGTCCTCCTTTTCGTCTGGACTCTCATACCTCAGTTCAGCATGATGTAATGGGTGTGCAGTAAGATTTATGCTCCAGTTTGTTAGAAATAGGTGGAATATCTCTGCTTCAGGCCCAGTGTTACAGTTAGATTTGTTAAAATACTCCAGCTTCTGCCTGAGTGAAAGCAGCCCAGTTGCAGGATCCTATTTCAAGGCTGGAGAATGAGGGTCAGGCTTCCCATTGCTCTGGGCTGGGGGAAATAATTTGCAAAGCAATGGTGGTACGTGTACTGCATGCTCAAAGTAGCAGTACAGTGTGTCAGAATAATGAAGAAGGCATTTAATTCTTTTGGAGAAAGGTCATTTAGTTATTCATCGTGAACTGTTTGTTGAACTCTGCTTCCTAGGACTTACATACTTTGAACTGGTTCATAAGCAGAGCAAAATAAAGGAGTCAATCATATAAATATGATGTGACTGCCTGGTAATTATTTACTTGTGAAATACAAACTCACTCCTGTAAACGAGATAACAAGGTTTTATTGAGGGACAAAGTCAATAAAGCAAAAGCAACAGCACTGGCCGCATGACCGTAGCCAGAGGCGCAAGTGATTAGTATTTGCTACAGGTTTATGTACTTTCACTATTACATTATTTACATACATATTCATAATTCCCACATATAGGCAGTGAATATTATAACTAGCTCCAAGAACTTATTATCATAAGTCTTCTCCTCTTGGCATCTGCGCACTGCTCTCTGGTGATTGTGGGCAGGGGTCTTGAGGATGAAGTAAGCAGTCGTCCTCTTGTGAGTAGGGGTCTTCAAGATGAAGTAAGCAGCCTTCCTCACAATGTACTTTTCACCTTTGGCACAGTTGAATGCCCCAGTAATCACACAACTAGCTGAAACCAGCTGTATCTGTAATTCTTCTGATAACTAGCAAAGATCTAAAACAGTGTGACCTTCCTGCAAAATTTATTGCAGGATGGGCAGACAAGGAGTATCCCGAGCTAGCAGATGTCTGGGAGGCTCTGTCTCTAAACTAACTGATAATGAGAAGGATGGTGTGAAATAACTCATTCATGTTTAGTAGGGCCACTAAATCCTGTTATCTCACCACAGACTTACAACACAAATATTGTTCTTTAAAACTAAAGATACTTTAGAAGAGTAGTGTGAAACAATTAAATCATGTTTAGTGGGGCCACTAAATTCCACAGACTTACAACATAAACATTGTTCTCTTTCTACAACCTAAGTTAAGCTAAAAAGTACTTTATGTTTTTCAGGCAGTAGCTTTTCTCAAGCCCCCCCCCCCCCCCCCCCCCCGTTCTTTCTTTTACCTGTACAAATTCTTTTGCTATGTGACTCTTTTGCTCAAGAGTTCTAGCCCTTTTTAACTTGTCTAACCTTGTGTCTTTAGCGAGCTTTGTTTCTGTTATTGTAAACTGGTACAGTTATATCCACATAACCACACCTATGATTTGCGAAAGCCAATACATTGATGTGTTTAGCACATTACTGATACATGGAAACAAATGTTCGGAACAGGCATTAAGCTAACTATTGAAGTTACCACTAGTGAATAGCTCTGCCACATTAAGAAAAAGACACTTTTTAGGAATAAGGCACACTTTGCTTTTTATTACTGCCATTTACTTTGAACAATTCTAAAGGAGGGGGCTTGTGATGTTCAGAATTCATGGAGTTATGGTATTTTATGTGTAATTTGGTAATACACCATTTTCATTTGCATAATACAAACAAAATACAAATATAGCATAGTATAAATGCAGTGCTAGCATGACCAAGGACAGTGAGGGAGTGCAGGTGATGATAGTTTATTAGATGGCTAAATAAAGACAGGTGGAAAATAATTACATTATAAAAAAATGGGAACACACATTTTTCACTTCACTAGATCACACCTTACAGATTGCTTAAGCTCTCCATGAAAAAGACTGAGATACCAGTTGTAAGAAAACAAAACAAAAACCAGACACCTTTTATAAGTAGTTCATATTCTTTTAAGACCAGTTTTCCAAATGGCAAAGGGGTGGTGTATTTGGCAGGAGGTCTGATAGAAGGGGAGCTCTGAAATGAGAAGTTCTCCAGAAGAGAAGAGCAGGCAGTCCAACATGAAGGCTGTGCACACAAAACTTCTGCCTGATTTCTCTGTCTTGTAGTAATCAAGGAGAGTAATTTACTTACTTAAAAATTGGGAATTGTTCTTCTGTAACAGGTACGTGTAAAACAGATAATGACTGATGGGGCTGACGAGAAGCTCAGAATGGTGTTTGCTTGGCAGTGATGGGCTTGAAATGTGCCTTCTATGCCTTCAAGACCATGTCAAACTTCCTCTAACAGCATTTTCCCAATTCACTCTACGCAAGACCCTATTTACTCCCTTAAACATGGAGTTGTGTTCACTTTAGCATCCTGGGATGGCAGGGAGTCCTGAATAACTTTCAGCAGTAAGACTGAAAGGGTCAAAAATCTGTTCAGAATCAATCACAAATTGTAATAATCTTGGTAATTACAGTAAAGTGTTGCTGCTGGAGGCTAATTATGGATTTTTGTACACTCAAGCTTCTTTTTATAATCTTATGAAAAAGCACCCTTTTATCTCTCTTTTCTTCTCCTGCTTTACCACATACTTCTTTTCATGTGTTGGAGGGGAAAATAAACCCTTTAAAATTATTAAGCTCCACAAAATGGAATGAAATTCTGTCTTTAAATGTCAAGAGGTGGGGGTGGAGGGAAAGGAGCAAATTACATCCCTTCTCTTGTATTCTGAGTACTCAGAAGTCATCTATGAAATGAAATACTTTGGGTTTCATGAGTGACTGGTGTGAAGCAGGGTCAGAATCATATGATCTTCAGGAAAATAGGAGTGAACAGGGGTAGGAAATATTCTACAAGGATGCTTCATGTTTCAAGCGTTTTTTCTTGGAAAAAAAATTACCATGCATCCAGTTTTGAGTGTATTTATTACCTTATACAGTATTAGTACAGATTTTGATAACTAGAAAGTAACGTAATTACCTTTAAGTTATTTCTCTGTATCTATTATGGGTATCCAGTTATTTGCTAAATAGTGCAAAAGTCGAAAGTTTAGAGTGGGGCTCATTTTTATGTGTTTGTTTGCTGTCTCAGCATATTTCTAAATGTATGTCTCTTGGCATTAAATGCACAGCCAGGGTAGCATTAGCATCACCCAAAATGGCAAAGACATATTCAGTGTGTAAATGAGTCATAGAATTATAGAATATCTCAAGTTGGAAAGGACCCATAAGGCTCATCAGTTCCAACTCCCTGCTCATTGCAGGACTACCTGAAACTAAACCATAGCATCATCTAGATACTTCTTCAGCTCTGACAGGGTTTGAGCTATGACCACTTCCCTGGGGAGCCTGTTCCAGTGACTGACCATCCTTTCAGTGAAGAAGCAAATGACAGTATATGAGGAGTGTTCACAAAAGGGGTGAAATAAAAAACTGAGAAGGATCAGAACGTTGCTGAGTTCTGCAAACTCTACTTCATGTGTATTTCTTAGGTGCCACCAGTGTTATGAAGAGATTTCAATACCGCTAAAACAATTTGAAGTTAGAATTGCTGCTCTTACAAATCCACATGGCCCCTGCTTGTGGCTGGCCATTAACCTTCAGCCACTAAATGGCAAATTACTGGATTCTTACCGGAATTGTGAGATTATAATCTCATAAAATAATGTCATTTGACTGCAAGCCATACTGGGGACCCACTGAATAACTGAGCAATACACTGACAGGGTTTAGGACTTCTTGCTGACATGGAGGATTAGGGAAGTCTCTGTGTATTGTCAGTCTGTGATATAAGAAAACGAAATCCCCTTTTCGTGTGGAACATCAGAGCTATGCATTTTAATTTCCCCCAAAGAAACAGGCTGGAGATGAAATTGAATGAGATCCTGGACTGAATCTCGGTGTTTGCTTAACTGCTTCATCAGACATGAGCAGGATCAGGAAACAAGCTATGGTTATTCATGAGAAATGTAGAAATCTATTGAATGGGTCACTTTGTTTAGGTTAAAAAAAAAAAATTAATCATATCATGAGTGCTTACCAGAAAGCACTATAACGGTTGTTACAAATCTTCATCATCCCTATTTTGTGTGCATTATATGACTATTTCTTGCAGAGACTGAAGGAGCTGAAACAGAGGGAGTTTGCTCGAAACATAGCATCTAAGTCATGGAAAGATGAAAAGAAACAGGAGAAAGCCCTTCGACGTTTGCACAAGCTGGCTGAGCTAAGGAAAGAGAGAACGTGGTAAGTGCATAACTGCTGAAACAAAAAATACTTTCAAATAAACCCTTTGCTGTTAGCTGGTGCTGTGGGATGCAAGGCTATTGGAGTCCCTTGACTGGAGCCCCATGGATTTGTTTGGATGGTATTTTTGAAGTGGTATGTATACAATAATCTGATTCACACTGCAGAAATGAATGTTTACCCTTGGTTTTTCAGTGGAGCTAAAATGGCATGTATTTTTAGTTTAAAAAAAAAAAGTTTCATATATATTTCATGAAACCAGGCACGTTGGTTGAAAGCTGCATGAACATGCATTTGCAGACTGACACTACTTCATTGATGAGGTGAGGAATACAGTCTGTCTTTCTAGGATGTAACAGATCTCTGCCATTTCGTTTTCAAACTGCTCGCCTGGGAAAGTATCCAGAAATCTTGTATTAAATTTCAGTAACCGGATTTTTGATATTAAAAGGTAAGTGCTTCTTTTCCCCAGCTCAACAGAGTGTTCACCTCCCTCTACAAAAGTGACTCCTTTCTAATCATACATCTTAGTGGTGCATCTGGGGATAATGTTGAAATTAACATTGAGCTTGCTCATTGTGACTGTGTTCTCACTTAAATATGACAGTTATGACACCAACAAGCCACTGAAAATATACATACCAATTTCTCGCAGTGGAATCTCAGTGGGGAAAAGGCAAAAAAAATAGCTGCTGAAATGCAAATGTCATGAAGGAGAGTTTATCTCTCAGCTTATTTCTCTATTTAAGAATTGCTGTTTACTGCCACTTTGTAGTAAACAGAATGTTTCTTAGAGGTGTGATACAGACAGACACACAGGGTTTTTTAAACTGGTATTTTCTAGGTTGGCTTTACAGAAGTCACCATTTTATTGCGTAAAGAAAGGATTTGTGGGGGGGGTTTAGTATATATTTTAAATTTATGAAGAACTGGACAAGGCAAGAATTCTCATGAGAAATTCTTTTCCGTGAAACCTCTACCTTAATTCTAGACTCAGTAGAATAAGTTAAGCATTCTTTATCTCAGCACTTCTAGGGGTCCTAAACAACATTTGAAAGTTTCCCCAATGACTTGTTATCTAGTACTGCTCTACACTGAAGGACAGAATAATTTGGTTACAAAAACAAAAAAAGAATGTTGTAAGATAGGTCCATTACTCCGAGTGCTGAGCAGTTCTTGTGGATCCTGGAAACTTGGCAGCTTCAACAATTTTTGCTCTGCTCTTGGCTTTGTATTAAGTCAAGTAGAACAGATGGGAAGATGACATGAAATAAAGAACAGAAGTAGACAGTGATAATTTTTTTCTTGGGAAGAATGAATCACTTACTGCACTATTGTCAGCTGAAATACTCTCCTTGATATTATTTTTCCATGAAAGAAACTGCTGAGATTGCAATTGTTCAGTCTGTGAACATGAATAGGATGGGAGCTGCTGGGTGACTGACGATGGGCAGAGCTGCTGTCACTGGGATGTTGACTAAGGTGGAAGTCATGTGCATGAGGCACTCTGTGGTTTAGTAAATTTTGTAGCACAAAAGCATGTAAAACTTATGCTGTTTGTAGTAACAGTCTTGTAATCATGATGATCTACTGGGAGGAGAAGCAACATTTTTAGATAAATGAATAGTCTCTTATTGGGACAGGCAGGGTGTCTAGGAAAAGTGAACTACCTCATAGGGATCTGAGCCCTTCAGCTGCTGACTTCACATGAAGGAACTGGAGGCACAACGTCTACTTTCTTTTTTTATTCTAGTCAGCTGATCTTAGTATAAAAGATGACATTTTTTTCATATTCTAAGTCTACATATCCTCAGATTCTTTGTCTTTTGTTAAAAAAAAAAAAATGTTGTAGATACCCATGTAATTCCATATTTCTGTCTGCAGAAAGGTACTGACTCCGAGTTTTGTTTTCCTTCCTAGTGCTCCTGGAAGCGGCCCTATGTTCAAATCTACTACAGTGACTGTGCGAGATCATTGCAGTAATAACCCCCAAAGTGCCATCACAGATTCTTCCAACAGTCAGGATTTAATGCATGATACACAGAATGGTGAAGATGTTGCTTCTGTTACTTCTTCCATTCCTGGAAATGCATGTAGTAATAAATCCGACACTAACAAATGTGGAGATCAGGTTCAAGGAGCTCAAGGTCATAGAGTTGGTTTCTCTTTTGCTTTTCCCAAGAAAGCAGTGGTCAAACTGGAGTCTTCAGCTGCTGTTTTCTATGAATATAATGACGAGACATCTATAGAGCATGGATTTAGCAGAAGAAGTAGGTTTGTTCCAGGAGCATGTAACATTCAGTCTCCTTCAGTGGCAGAAATAGTCCTGTGCCCTGAGGAGAAACATAACTGTTTTCACCCACTGGTGGAAAAATGCATAGGCACAGCAGGAGCTCCTAAAGCTCAGGAGCCAGAAAAACTAGCTGGTGAAGAAAGCGGTGTGCTGGAGTCTCCTATCTTAACTCCTGCTGCATCCCATTCAAAGCATCTGGTTTCCTTGGACATGGGTGGCTATGGCATTGATGTGAATGCAGCAGACGTAGTGGACCAAATGCTGCCCATGGCTGTGGACAGTGCTCGGGTCCTGCCCCTGGACTGCAGCGGGTATGAGCTGCAGGCCAACAGGGCTCTGGCACAAGCAATTGTGGAGGACTCTTTATCTCTGCAGGATGTTGCCAAGGAAAATAATACAGATAGCAACAGTGATCCATCCATGACTGAAACTGAAATAAAAAGACTGGTTGCAGATGTATCAGTTCCATCAGCATCTGAAGAAGGTAGTGGTGGAACCCCACAAAGCAAACCGGACGTGCACAAGAGACCTTGTGAACCTTTTGTTCCTGTTCTTAGCAAACACGGATCAAATATTCTTCAGTGGCCATCGGAAATGTTAATTTACACAAGTACAGACCCATCAATTTCTTACAGCTGCAATCCTTTATATTTTGATTTCAAGTTATCAAGAGCAACTGACAGCCAAGAAAAGCCCAAGCATCAGCCAAACATACCTCATTTGCACCATAAAAGTGAATCCAACCATAGCTTAGTCTTGAATTTTACAAATAAACCTACTTCAGAGTGTGGTGATTATGAACCAGAAATCAATAAAGATGTGTGTGACTATACAATACCCCTTATAAGTGACAATTCCCTCCTCATAAATTGTGATTTTGCAAAAAATCAAAATAAAGTGTCTTTGGATGAATCATTCAGGATTAGAAAAATAGAAAAGTATCGCCTTTCTAAAAATCACTTACGACAAAACACTGTGATAGATGAGAAATACAACAAAATCTGGATCAAAGAAAGCCATGAAAAATGGCTACACAAAAGTAGAAAATGGAAAAGGAAAAGAAAATTGTGTCGTCATCATCATCACTGTGGGGACATGACAGCAGCAGAAATGGAGATGTCCTCAATGAGTGAAAAAGAAATCAGTTACCAAGATGAAAACAAATATCAGCACCTCCAAAATAATCCAGAGAAGTGCAGATATGATGTGGGGAATATCTGGCTAGATGCAGGTGAGCTACAGCATTCGCATCAAAAACTTGGTATTGAAAATTGTCATAAGAGAGTCATGTCTGCACCACATCATGTACATGGAGACAGAGCCTGGTGTGATGTTTGGAGTGCAACCAATAACCAACACCATGGTTGTAAGCGATGGCACAGAAGGAGCAGAGCAAGTTCTCAGGCATATGCAAAGCAGCTGGCTCTGAGTTCCAGGAGGCACAGCCTCAGGTACACTAAAACATGTTGTAGCTGGAAAGCCAGGAGGTCAAGCTGTAGCCCAGAGCATAAATGTTTAGGACACTGCAGTGTGGAAAAGAGTCTGAGTCAAAAACAGTCCATAAAGAGAGGTTACAGTGTTCTGACAGAAGAAACAAAGAAATCCCACTGCAAGTGGAGAGAGCATACCTGTTCCTCTTCATCAGAAGAAAGCTCGTACACACAAACATTATCAGCAGAGGAATATCTGAGGCAAGCTCAAACTATAGGTACACGTCACAGGACAAAAGGGAAACAAAGGAAAAGAAAAACCAGAATCCATCGCATATTCCTTGACAGGAAAGCAAGGAGTGAGAACTCCAGACCTTCCACAGAAAGTTCTGCAAATTCTACGTTAAATGTTTTGAGGGGCCTCTTGACTCAAGACAGTCTAGAGGAAGTTAGTGCAGATCCCAAAGCTGATCATGCAAAAGACACAGATGAAATGACACAACTGGAGGAAAGCAAGTCATCTCTAGACACTGACATTTCACACGTGTTAGAACACAATGAACCAAGGGTGTGCACAGTGATGGAGAACACGCTGGGTGTATTTTCTGATGTTGTCACTGTGCCCCTTCCTGAGCACCGCGCTCCAGCAGCTGCCAGCACACAGGGTGTTCTGCAAGATGAAAAGAAGACAGAAGAGGTCAACAGTCATGAAAATCAGGCTCATTACAAACCTCCCCTCCCCAACAGACATTTGGAACAAGCTCCTCCTAGATCCAATCTTTGCCATTATGAATTGGCCGAGTCTCTACCACATGAGAAAATAAATGAGGTGACTGGTGAATGGGTACAGCGTAATCCTGATATATTTAGCAGCCCACCACCCTTGCCATTCAAGGAAGCACATGTAAACAGTCACAGTTTTTTAACTACTGAGCAGTTACTAGCCCCTTTTACCCCGCCTGATCAGACACTGATATTCCCTCCAGATAAACACGACAAATTCAAAGATTTCCCGTCTGAGGCCTATCAGCAGATCATGCCACAGAACATACTGGCCAGCAAAGTGAAGTTCACCTTCCCTCCCACAGCAATCCAGCCCCCGAATTCCCCACTGCAGCCTGTACCCCTGCAGCTGCCATTGTGCTCTACCTCCATCACCACCATCCACCACACTGTCCTACAGCAGCATGCCGCTGCTTCACTGAAGGTTCTCCAGCCCCACCAGCAGTTTCTCTCACAGGTCCCGGCTCTTTCCCGAGCTCCTTTACCTCATGTGCCAGTAGGACCAAGGCTTTGCCCAGGGGTTCACACAGCTTTTGTCACCGCACCGCACTTGCCACTGCTGCCACCCTCAGTCCTGCCACCAAGCCCGCCGGCATTCCCACTGCTGCCGCACACCGTCTTCCCATCCCTGCTGTCCCCACACCCTACTGTCATCCCCCTGCAGCCCCTCTTTTAGGATGGGTTCTCAGAGCTGGGGGAAGGAGCCCTCAGCTCAGTGGTCCTGCTGCTTCTACAGCCCCCCCTCGACTTTGCAGGATGGTTCTGTGAAATGAACTGGTTAAAATTCCTTGTTCCTTGGGAAGCATTTACTGTAAGTACAATAATGCAAACATTCATGTTGAGGTCAGACCTGTACTATAACAAAAGCACTAAATAGTCTGATGCTAATATGAACTCTCTATATGTAAGTGAAAATCATGTCTTAGAATATGTACAATATAAATAAAATATATTTATAGTTCTATAACATGTTGTATTCACTTTTTTGTTTTTATCTTTGTGTATTTGCACCTATTTAATGTTTAGACAAAGCTGATGCACTATGTTTTGTACTATGTCCTCTGAAACTGTAAATCTGGTGACAAACTATCTCTTGCAATAAATTTTTGTTAACTACTTAAGTATATAAAAAAAATCTTTCGTTATAAGCCTCATGGATGTTGCTCTTCCATGGTTTTCTGCAGCTGAATAGCATCCTCTGCCCCTACTCTGTTTGAATAATCAGGTTTCCTATGCATCAGTGATTTATCAAGGAGGCTCAGAGGCTAATACCTTGAGGTATTGTCTCACTGAGCAAGAGAGGAAGATTAATAGATGTGTTTGTGTTAGCAGCTTGAAGTTACCATGACAAATTGTGCCTACTTGTAGTATGTGCACAAACTGCTCACTGTTGGAGCTAATCCCTTTTGTACTAAACCACAAAATGATGATGTAACAAAAATGACATCAATGATGGCCTGGGGGGAATATCAACACCAGTTTGACTTCAAGGGAATGTTGCTTACACTGGAATGGTGAAGCACAGGGAAGATCTTGGCTCCACCAAGCAGTTGTGCTCTGACTGTGCACAGCCCTCGATGGGGCAGATCTGTTTGGGTGAGGTCCTTCCTGCCTGTGCAGTGTGTGACAATAACAAGGATGCATGAGTATGAAGGGGATGTCAGGAGGAGGTTCACATGGGGAAACCCACCAGGGTTTGAGACAGATTCTCACCTCACTTTCACCCTCTCTTTCCTGAAGCAGTTTGCCAAAGTAGAATAACATTGAATAGAGATCAGCTAAAATAATAATATGCTGCCATTACTTCTAACTCTATTTCAGAGACTTCTCCCTACCTCTGCAGTCTGTTTATTGCTTTAGCAGCTATAAACAGCTTTAGCCAGTGAAATCTCCACATTTGCTTTAGTTTGGGATGTATCAGGCCCACACCTACAACAAAACCGAAGACATTCTGAGATAGAACCATCTTTTTGAGTTAAAATGAAGTGTTACCATGTGAATGAAGCTAAGGATTTGCAGCATGACCCTTAGTGCTAGAAGTAGGCCCTCTGTAATGGAAGGTAGGTGTTAGCAATCCAATTAATTACTTAGTTTCACCTTTTTATGTAGTATAATAAAATTATATAAAGTTGAACTTAAAAAGTAGTAATTTTGGAAGATTATTAATATTCATTACATATGAATAGCTACAGACATTAATCATTTGAAAAGTAATACTATATCTTAAGACATATATATGGATATTACTTCCTGCATCTATAGCATTAGAACTTACCTGTGTCAATAATGCAAGTTTTTGTATAATATTACATTAAAACTATAGCAAATGACATCTTGTCACTATGATTACAGTGTCAGCTACTCAAGGAATGCGAGTTTTCCCTGTCTTGCAGTTACAAAGGGCTAAAGTATGCCAATAAGCAAAAAGCTGATAAGAAAGAGCAGTTGAGATATCAGGGTCTGGAGAGCGACTCGGATCTCCTGACTGAGGCTGTGTCAATGAGCAGGATGTTGCTGTCCCTGTAATGCCATAAAGAGGGTATATTTTCTCTATTTGCAATTTCAGGTGAATGCCTGTTTCTATTTATCTGGTACCTGAAAAAACATAGCATAGAAGTGACTTTATACACCTTTATTTTGCAAGCATGCCTACATAATCTATATGTCTCCACTACTGCCTGTGATATGTAGGTACCAAGCAGGTGCTAAACACAGGAATATCTGAAGTGGGAAGGTTCATGCCAGCTCCCTTAGCTGACTTCTGCATTTCTGTCCTTCTGTGTAGTAGCCAACACAGACAGTCCGTTGGGTTCTGATGTCTCAACAAAGACAAAAAAAACATCTAATTCTATGAGTACACTTGAAAAAAGTCATGTAGGAAAATCATGATTGCATGTTATCAGATCCATGCATTTTTATCTGGCAGGAGATGAAAAATCACCAATTTCAGTTTTTCAGTTGCAATATTCATTGAAAAATCCCATCTTTTAAATTTAGAAGTCCACATTTTTTTAACAAAATGTTCCAATAGCTTTAAATTTTACTTTATTCCTTACAATTTTCTTCCTATTTTAAGTTGTTAAACTTTGAAGACATTGCACAATTATTTGTTATCTACTGTAACTGCTTTAAGTGCATAAACTACTTAAAAACTCTAAGAACCAAGTGTACTCATATGCTATTGCTTGGATCGCTACAGCTGTTTATATATATGACTTCATTTGTAAAAGCAAAACCAATATAAAAATAAATCACAAGTTAAATTTAAAATTGAGCATACTAGATTAAATGACCTAATGAAATATTCTTTTGAGTTTTTCTTTTATTATTAAAGATCTAACTTCTAGTAAGTTATATAAAGGTAGCTCTTCTTATTCATGTTCTATCTGATATTTTTGATTAAATGTGTATTTTTCTTCCATAACTTGGCAGAATATTTCAAATACTAAATTACTGAATTTTTATCAGTCTAAATAAATTCCACAAAATTTTTTCAATCTAATGAATTTATGGTTGAATTTTCAGATTTACACAGATTGAGTGTGTCTATGCTTCCGGCCAGTTTTCCAATTTGTAGAACTATTGGCCTGTCTTCCTAGTGTAAACAGGCAGTGGTACACAGAATGGAAGGAATTAAACCTTCAGATCTTAACCTAAACAAGGTTATAGATTTTGTTAAGTGATTTCCCAGACCAGCTCTGCAGAGAAATTCCTTGGAAAGTTAATCTGTTCTGCTGAGGTGAGAAGAGTACCTTTGTTTGGTCCTTTGAAAATTGCAATTTGCCCAGACCATGATCTTCCTGGGGATGTCCCATTGCTCAGGTAATGTGACCCACAGGGTCACGCTCTGGAGAAGCTTTTGGGCATTAAGGAACATACAAGACAATGTCTTGTATTGGTATGCAAACTAGCAGCTCTGCAAGTTTTGAATTACTGCAGAGCAATCACCACATTTCAGATTCTACAGGAGTGAGTGATGGGTAGTCACTTATGGAGAAACTGTTGACCACAATCATTGATAAAAACCCCACCTTTTACAGGGTGATAATGTTTTTATCATTTGCTGTAATCAAACAGCAATGAAATCATTAATGAAGCAACATCTTCTTTGCTTGCCATGTTAACTTTGTAGTAGCTCATGTATTCAGGCTAAGCTTTAAAAGGCCATTGGGACATCCATTTTTCTTTAATATCCTACTATACATGATAATATGCTGCTTATACAACACACGACATGGCTATAGTTTTTTTTTTTGTCAAGTTAATTTTCTATGACTGTGCATTTTTCTCAAAGTACTTGGTTTTTTTTTTTTGTTGTGATAATATTTACTTCATGTGCTGCATTTAAAATACAGCTGTAAGAATAATTTGGCCAAACTCTTCATCAGTGTAAATCAATGCACAACTTCTGACCTCAGTGGAATTTCATTGATTTGTACCAACCCAAAATCGCTCATGTTGCAGTGTTAAGGATTTTGTAAACTTGCTCAGTTAAGGCAATAAGTTATGACCAGGTGAATGTATTTTTAAGGCAGTTATTTGTTTATATCTAAGGAGGTAAATTTTAATCTCCTGGATATTGTACTGTGGTGCTCCTGGTCTACAAGTTCTAAACACCGCACATTCATTTTCTGATTTCCCTTCCTGTGCATTGCCTAAAGATTCGTGTATGTGTAGCAGTGCACATATTTATGCAATATGCCTTCCAGATGTACAATTTTACAAAGCTATCTAAACTCTATTGAAAGTAAAGACCTTTTTACTGTATAAAGATCATTTGATATTTTTAAATTAACATGGCTTACTCTCTAAATGTGTATGTTATTTTATAGATCACTGAATGCTTGCAGTAGGCATGGTTTTGTATATTATTTTATGTCCTTCCTTCTCCCCTTTACTTCAGGAACACTATAAAGCTGTCTGGTTTTCTGTAAGATTATCAGAATGTATTGTAATGTATCTATTTCTGAATATGAACCAGGCTTCTTTATTACTTCTAACTGCAAAAATTAGTGTACCGACTTTAAGAATTATCTTATTTTTGCTTCAAGCTTCTGTTTCATTTTATGGATTGTATAAGGTTGGGAGAATTTCTACTCTGAGTCTGAAGTTTGACCTGTTGGTAAAATTCTGAAACCAGTGAATTCTTAAGACAGTTTTGCCATTAACGTTGCTGAGGACTTATTTTGTCCTGGGGCATTAGGGCACTTTATTTATTAAAACTCCCTTATACTCACTGCTTTCACTTGAATAATAATTTCATAAAGTATGAGGAGGAGCACAGACCAGTAAGGAAAAATTGATCCATTTTACATCAGTCTTTTGTTGATCTATTTTTATTGTAACAATATTTCTGTAATTAATGACCGTAAGGGTATGTCCTTAAAATTTCTGTTCTGTATCATCAGTGTTTTGAAATGTATACATGCACCTTCTATTTGATACCAAAGAAAAAAACAGATTTAGTAAGTGTGACTAAATTCATACAGTATTTAGATAAAGTGTCAGTAGTCTTTAATGGGATAAGATCAGAATGTGCAAATTCATGTAGAGAATATGACAATAATACATTAAGCTTCAAATGTGAATCCACAATGGATATAATATTATTTATGTGAATTAAAGGAGGTTACTATTAAATCAGTAGTGGTGTTTGTTTGCTATGAATGAGATTTTTAGAGATAAATTATTTTCCTTTTTTTTCTTCAAAAGAAGGAGGTAACAGGAAAATACTTTCGGAAATGCATATTTTAAAATCAGCTATAGGTAGAACCTGCATCCCTTTTATCAGGGATGAGAAACAGCAAGTAAGTATTGTGCATTCAAAGAAAACACTTTTTCTAAAGAAACATCTTGCATTTCTAGTTCAGTTTTATCTTGGTTTAGTCTGGTGAAATCTGGGAAGAATTAGGGTAAAACATAGGAAGTTCTACCTCAAAGGGGCAAGATCCTTTTTTATATTGTAAGAAATCAAACTAATTTAAATTAATATATTTGCACTATGGTGAATATGGAGAAAGCAAAGCTAATTTTTTTCTTGCAATGTAATTCAGATTTAGCAATGTAATTCAGACCCAAAACCTTCGTGCATGTAACAGGCTCTTTTATACATGGCTTTTATGTCAGTGGAGTGCTGGCAAGAACAGCAGTAAAATCCAATCTCTTCTCTCATGTCGAGTAATGCCTGTTGAAATGAAAAGGAGGCAAAGACTGAAAGGAGGTAAACCTGAATCTGTCAATGCCTAAATAATACTTTTTACCTGTGGAATTGTAATTGGACATAGAAGTTTACTTGAATTTTAGTGTTTGTACGTATATAGGTGTGCCTGTGCGTGTTGCCATGCACATAATGGGCTACTAGTTGAGGATTCTGTTTTTCTAGGTGTAATTTTGCATCTGTAATTAAGCTTGTTTGAAATGTACATAGTAGAAAAGACCGTTGAAGGGAGAAATATTTAATAATAATAATCATAATTATTTAAAAAGTGTGATTATTAAATAATGAACCCATCCTTTTCTCTCCAGGATGGAGGAAAGTTGCTCAGTTACTTTACCTGGCTGTATTTTGTGTCTTTCTACCACTTAAATTGCAAGTGCTGTTTTCCTCAGTAAGCCTTTTCCAGCTGGTCTGTTAGTCCATTAGTGTCAAAAAAAGACAGGATAGCAAGAGAAGATGTGCATGTAATTTCATCTTTAGAAAGTCCCTTTTCTCTCTGAAGAAATTGTTCACTAGAATGAACCTTCAGTGTGCAAAGCAAGGATATTGCTCTCTCTGCCACTGCCTGTGGCTGCACTCCTCACCTTCTCTTAATGTGTCATTCTCCAGAGGCAGAAGAAGTACAAAGGAAGGTCTTCTAGCACCACCAGTTTACCCAGAACTGGGTGCAGAGGAGCACGTTGGAAGATTATCCATGTTCTTCCCAGCAGATGTGTTACTGTAAGTGAAAGGAGTGTCACAAGCACTGGGCATTTATTTTTCAGTTCTTACTTCAGATTGAATTGCAGCCAGGCTAAAAGAAGCATGAGAGGAGAAACACTAGGGCAAAGTGGTTTAAGTGAATAAGGCATTTCACTGAGATGCTTTAGTGTCTCAGTAGATGCCCATCAGCTCTATACTTGCTGAATTCTCTGCACTGCAGACTTCCATATTTGGGAACTCTCAAAAGAAATTGAGCACTGGTTGGGTGGGCAAGGAAGTGAATTACACTTTGCTCCTAGGGAAAATCATTGGATTATACCCATTTGAGTGGATAGGTTGGTAGAATGGGATAGAGGACCTTCCCTGTGTTCTGTTGCTGGTGTTCCACTTTCTGCATGAGGAGATACTGGGTCATTGAACCATCAGTAGTGGATGGATGCAAATGTGTTACGTGCCCACCAGCTGTCTGCCAGCTCTGTATTTGGTTAGCGGGGAGACTTAGATCTCTGACTGGGTTTCTTTGGGTCTGTTGAATGGGGAGCAATTGCCCACTTGTGGCAGAGGTCAGCCAGGGCTCTCTTCTTGTGGTGGGACTAAGTCTGGCTTGGAGCATTAAGTGGAAGCCTAATTTAGGATGTAGGATATTTTTTTTCCATAGTAGGATAGTTTGTTTTCCATAAAGCAATGTGGGCAATAAATGTGTTCTTGGTTAATAAAAAGGGCAAAATGCTATTCAGGTTGTAAAAAGCAGAGTAAATAGAAACTTAAGTGTTGGGATGAAATAAAGAATGTAAATCACAAAGCTGTCACAAGGGAATTCTCAAAGTTGGGAAATTCATTATGAGCAAGAGTAATAATAATAATAACATAATAATAAATATATTAATTATAAAATTATTATTGTTGTTGTTATTTACATGCAGTATAAAATATTCTGAGATCTATAATATCTATGTAAATCAGTCCTGTCAATCACCAGTCCAGTACTGGGAGCATGGCTGGATTCTGGGCAGTAGGTTATTGAGTGTGAAACACAGAGCAGCCTTCAGAGGAGCAGCAGTATTTGCCACTCTGAAGAATGTCTTGAGCACAATAGAAAGTGGGTTTAGGGGAAAATATGCAGGTACTTTTGGAGGAAAAAGAAGGGGAGCTGAGAGGGACTGAACCTGGCGATATTTGTGGAGATGAATGACACGGCAGATAGACAAGGGAGGCTGGGTGAGAGGGTGCACTGCTACAAGGGTTTTTACAGACAGCTTTAATAAACTCTATCCGAGCCTGCAAAGAGTGGTGATAATTTATCTCTAGAACACCCTACGTCCTTTTATTCAGTTCTCCTTGGGGGTACTTTTACTTTCTAACCCAGGGATACCAAGCAATGGGATTTCCTGACATAACATTGTGTGGCATTAGCATGAGCAGTGGGATGTAAGAATTCTGCAGCAACAGATCACCTGGAAGGGCTGAAGGAGTAAACACTTACTGGAGTGTTTTTCACAGAGAAACAGAGT